TATATATATATGCCTACATATTGAGTTATTGGTATCATCTTACAGCTTTTTCATTTGTCTTACTTTCAATGAGAAAATTACCCATCATTCTTCAATAGAAGTGGAGATATTTTGGATTGAAGGAGGTGGGGGTCACCTAATTTAAGTGTTAAAATTAGCCAGAAAATGGCCGCCAAAGCTTGGTAAATCCCAATGCTGGAGAGTCCATGGAAACTGTAAATTTATATTTTTGTGCCTTTAATCAACGTTTTCGGTGAAATCCTCAAAGGAATGTGTTGGTAAATGGACATAAAAGGTGTTGAGCCAAAAAACCAAAAAAAATGATAAAAACTGCTAAGCAGGGAGAAAACTGCTGTTTTCTTCGATTTCATTATTTTGACGAGAGCCAGATTCCACCACGTTGCCTCACACACACACATATAAAATATATATATATAACCATACAATTGATATGCGGCTCCGATGGCCTTGAGGTTAAGGCGTTCGTCTCTTATTCAAAGGTCACAGGTTCGAATCCGGGATGCGACGGAAAAATGTTCTTCATTAAAATTGTCTCCTTTCAGCTCCATTCCTGCTCTCTAGCAATGTTCTGTCGCCTGCTTTCGTCTCCACTTTCTGCCCCCACCTCCTTTGCCCCTTCCTCTGGGCGCCTGACTCTTTAAGACTTTACTTCTAGAATTCTACTCCTTGGCTCCTTCTTACAGCTGTCTTTCAACCACACCCCTGATCTTCTGGTAGGAAAGATCTACACCTAGCCTTCTCGGATAAAGGCGAACAATCTCGGAGGTCGTGTGCAAGTTGCGTTAAAGATCCCTTAGTGGTCTAAAATCGATAAGAGTAGGCTTCGGCCGCCACCCGGGTAAAATTCAAAATTTCCTACCTAGTGAAAATGTTTCGTGTGTCCATCGGGCTCATATGACCATATGCAGTTGCGAGCGCCGTAAAACACTTTACCAAAAAAATACAATTGATAATCTTTAGGATCAATACCATTAGCATTTAACATAGTTTAAATAAACACACAGGCCAGTCTGGCATGCACATACCCAAAAATAAAAGCCGGCACAAATTAAGGAGATATTCAAATCCGGTTTGTTCTCTTATTGTATTTTCTGTATTAAAACACACACATAATGTTCATAGTAAAGAATTCGTACTTAGAGCAAACAAAATCGGCCTCAGCGAAGGAAGATGCAATTAAATTTCTCTCCTCTGCAGCTTCACCAAGTGATCCGGAGTCTTGTAGTTAATTAAAAAGCAAACCGTATCATGTCTTTCTTGTATCCATTTCTTTTGTACCTTTGAACAACTGGTAACATTTAAGTCACGTAATGTTTTGTGCAGGCTGACAGGTTGCACCAAGGGCTATAAACCTTTTACAAAAAAAGGCAAATAGTATTTCCCCTCTGAAGTCTTTATTTTATTTTATTTTTGTTGTTGTTGTTGCTACATTTGATATAGGCACTGTTAGGCTCACTTTTGAACGGTTTGAATCGACTGCTACAAAAAAAAATCTCTTGGCAGCTCTAAGAGGTTTATGAGCAACCACCTCAAGAAGTGGTTGCAGTAGGGTACTTTACTCTTAGTCCTTTTCATTAAGTCCATGTTTTTGTTTTGTTTTTCCAAAAAACATCAAACATGTGCTTTAAAAAAATTGAACTTTGTCTATTAGGAGAGAGTCATTTACAATGTTAGTAATTTTTTGAAATATTTAATCCTAACATCTTTTAAAAGGCTGGTGAGTATAGGGTCTTTTGCCTTTGAGCATGCTTAGTAAACGGACAACATAATATTATGTGAAATATGGAATAAACAAACAGTCAGACGTTCGCACAGACATACCATACAAAGTTGCTTTCCCCATTTTCTCCGTTGAAATGTTTTATTGTGATGTCTGATTTCTTGTTCTGTTTTCTAATTTCTCCTCGTCAGGCTATCAAGGAGCCATTCTTGGAAGCAGTCAGAGTAACCCTTGGAGATCGGTATACAGAAAACATGCAGAACATCTATACGATTGCCATCATTTTCATCCTGGAAACTCTCAAGCAGGGCATGGAAGAAGCCTTAGAAAAGGCCGGCTCCTCAGAGGTAGCGCAGGGCAACATCAGAGTGTGACAGAAAGTAAGATGATAGATCTTCAGCGTATACTCTCCAACCGTCTGGGCCTCGACAGACGGGCCCGTACAGCACGCTGGAATCACAGTGATTTGAATTCGGGTTCTTTCTGTTTTTGTTGTAATAAGACAATTCCTCAACTGCCTTGATTCGTTTTAAGCTGATTTGTACATTCAATCTATTTGAAATAATCTAAGCGTTGACTTGTAGAAATGTCAGAGACGTCTACTAGATTTTTATTGTTTTTGTAAATGTTTTAAAGAAAAGAGATGGTGCCGGTTGGTTTTCCAAATTATCTCCCATCTTCATAAAGTAGGCTACGATATCGCTTGAGGCCTAGTTAAACAGAGAACTTATTGAATGGACGAAAAAGTATTCCCAAGGGGCTCATGCAAAGGACTTCTGTTGCGGATTACATAACACGTTCCACACTTAGGTAAAGATGACATCAGGAAAAGGAAAGAAAAACAACTTGATTTCGGAAATTCAATTGGTCTTGATGCTCATGTCCTGTGTTGGCAACTGCAAACTGCAACACAAAAAAAAGATATCGATAGCGATTGCAGAACCCATATACAGACAGAAAGGTACGATTAACTGGTTCCACAAGAGTCCATTTTATTGTTTCCGCAAAGTAATGCTTTCTGGCAAGATCATGACGTTGTAGTAGTATGGTTTCTTTCTCTTTTTAAAAATTTTTTACTTTGACTACGGTGTACAAGAAAATTTGCTAACACTACAGTTATTATAATAAAAAGAATGCATGACTGAAATACGTTAACAAATTAATCAAAATCACCTTTTCAAATTCGTTTTGTTAATTCACAAAGTGCCGGGTATGGCCCATCATCAACTTGTTTTTATGTATTGTCCTTCAACCTTTTTTCAATGCAAGGTCCCCGCTTACGCCGTGCCGGCCATTTCCGTGCCGGCCATTGCCGTGTTTGTAGCGCCGTAAAACATCTACCATACCGAACCAAGGTCCTTATGCTGGGAATACTAAGGAGAGTGCCCCTGTGAAACTCTCTAGATTATTTTCTTTAAATTAGGGGAAGGGGGGGGGGCTCTCTAATTTCTCCGGATTGGTCCAAAGCATGGAAATTACTACGCAATTAGGCTTAGTGCAGTTCGAATAAAAGCTAGTTTGTCCGGTGTCCCGATAAATGTATAAGCAATAAGGGAGGGATTTATAATATAGACCCAAAATGTCTCGTAAACGGAGTGGTAGGCAATAGTGGCCCTTGATACGTATATGGGACGAAGGGGACGTTAAATTTACTGTTACCCTCGTGCATTATCTAAGCATAATAGGATGTTCAGCGGCAGTAATCTGACCATGCCTTTTGCCATATTGGTGGTACATTAATATTAGGCCAATACGATGACAAATCTCAAAAGTGCGCTTGCTAAAATGTCGCCAAGAGTAGGTAGTAGAAAACTAAACACCATTCTCTGCTTATGCTGTTCACGAAAACCCAGGACAAGGATAATTAATATTATGGCTGAGGGTGCATAATTCCAAGACCATATTATTTTATGTGCTCTGGGGATTAATGTTCAAATGAATTGTGATTGGTTCTTTACCTGCCATTTTTTTTATGCCTTGAACCGCCTTTGTAACCCTTAGTTTGAGCGAGGTCAATGTGACATAATTATATTACCCCATTTAAAGGTTGGTAGATGTGAAGGTGTTCTTACTTGAGTGTTCAGTTCCAGTAGAGAATGGAGTAGAAGAATAAAGTCCTTACCAAGCGAAAGATATTAAAATTAAAGAGCATTTCATTTAATTTACCCTTGACTTTCTTGAACCTACGATAGCATGCTAACTTTTTAGCCCCACCATCTGCCCCTGCTTCAAACTGCTTTTGGCCTCCAGAGACTGCTCACAAGGCTTGTGAACTTTTGTTGTACTTTTTTATTAACTCAAAATAACGAAAAATGCTTCATAGGGTAGACAATGCTGTGACAGAATTTTAGTTTCAGAAAATGACTCAGCCTGTCAAAATGATTTGGGAACTTAAAAATATAGGGAATTTGTCGATCTTTGATCTTTTCCTAAGCAAGGGATAATGGATAGAAAAGGGGAGGAGGAGAAACAATGGCAGCAAATCAAGTCGTAACAGCAATATTGGTAGTAGCAACCGTGGCACTAATATTAGTCAGAGCATCAGTTGTCCACAGCTAGGTAAAGAAGAAGAATCAGCAGCAGCAGCAGCAGCAGCAGCAGTAGTAGTTTTTATTGTTATAGTAGTAGTAGTAATAGTAGTAAGAGGAAGAGGAGGAAGTAGAAGAGGAGGTGGGGAGGAAACAGTAGAAGCAGTGGCAATAGTTGTAGCATGGGATTTGTGACAGGGCCTTGTCCAAAGCGTTTCTCCTAGCTGGAAATGGGAGTGTTGGTGTTTGAATTACATCTCATGAAGTTGGATTAGGAAGTCAACTCATCACCATTTGACTTTCGGTTTGTTTTCATGTAAAGTTATGTATTTCATTTAAGATATTATTATCTACCTATAGTTGGGTCAAATTGTGTAATACCGGGTGTCTAAAAAAGGAGCAACCATGTAAAGGGTATTACCTCTGTCATTTTTGGACTAATTTCAACAATATTTCGAAGAAATAAAATACATTCAATTAGGGGAAAAATTGACCAACACGTTCGAAATATACCAAAATTGGGCGAAACACAAAACTTCCTAAAAATCAACCATTTTCGTTTTAAAATTCAAATAGTCAGCATGTATGCACTGAAAAACTAATTTATAAAAAACTGATATTGCCAAATAAACTCAGGGAGGTAATGGCTATTTAAGTCTCTAGGTGTTGACCATTTCTCTCCCTAAAAGCTCCAGCATGCTACTGGACACTTTAAATAACCCCATGGCATGTTTCTGTGACTATTCTTTGGACATCATGTTCAACATTGATTTTAAACTCTTGGATTGTATTTGGGTTGTTTCTGTAGACTCTGTCTGTAAAAAAATACACACCAAAAATCCCAAAAGGTAATAATTGAAGGGGTTCAAATTAGGGGCAATGTGGTGACCATCCATTTGTAAACTTTCGGCTCCTGAAGCGTTTCTTCTCTAACCTTTCTTACAACGACACAAGCGTGAATGTCGTGGTTTTACCTTCCTTGTCTTGAAACTAGAACACCCCTGAACCTTAATGCTTTTTTAATAGAAATAACATTTTGTGTTTTTATCCGATAGTGGTTGACATTTCTTAATTTGATATTTCTTGAACAAGTTAATTTATTTCCTTCACATTCACAAACTTGATGTCCCCCTGGATGAATTTCATTCGTTCAAAATGTTGTTGAAATTAAAGAGGAGATGGCCTAGTTATTGCTATTTAGGTGGGTACTATTTTTTTAGACACCCTGTACCTCAGACTAAGTTATGCTTTTTATGTCACGTGAAATAGTTTGACAACTTCATAGAGATCTAATAAATTATTGACAAAATAGCAGTGAATAATGCTCCTGGCTCAAACAGTCATAAGATCTGTGTGATTTTATGTGAAGTCTAAATGCCTTGTGGTTTGTTTGTTGTTGTTGTTTTTCTTGTGGTGTTGTTGTTGTTGTTGTTGTGTTTTTTTTTGGGGGGGGGGTGTTTTTGTTTGTTTGTTGTTGTTATTTTTAATAAGTGGTGTTGGGGATAAATCGGATCTTTTTTTCCCCCAGAATATCCAAACCCCAAAATTTCCCTTTTCATGTCGAATTGAATATGCTTGCAGTGTCTGAAAAGCGCAATCATATTTGAGAGTCCTATTTCCGAATCCGAAATGAATCTCTTTCCTGAATATGTACCTTCACGGATTGGCTTTCTGTAACAGCCCCCCTTTATAAAAAGGGACCAATTTAAATTGTCTATAGATCTAGTTGTAAGTAATAGCAGAATAGCAGACTGTTAAAAGTAAACAATCTCTCTCTCTCTCTCTCTCTCTCTCTCTCTCTCTCTCTCTCTCTCTCTCTCTCTCTCTCTCTCTCTCTCTCTCTCTCTCTGTGTATGTGTGTGTGTGTGTGTGTGTGTGTGTGTGTGTGTGTGTGTGTGTGTGTGTGTGTGTGTGTGTGAACTGGTACTTTAATTGACAGTTAGCCAAGTGGGATATGAAAATAAGTCAGAACAATATTCATTTGTCCGTAGAAGTCAAGTCGATAGCAAATATATAATCATTTATATATAGATTTATATATATATATATATATATATATATATATATATATATATATGTATGTATGTATGTATGCAAGGCTGAAGGCCGATGAAAATGTTTTTCAAAACAATCAATACGTATTGGTGTATGTGGAACAGAAAAAAAGGAAATGTGGTCATATATTTGAGCAAAGCGTTAGTACATGACAGGTGCTAGGGTTAAACAATTTGCACGTATGAGAAAGCTTGTTACAAAGGTTTTATTTTATATATTATATATTTAAAATAATAATAATAATAATAATATTAATAATAATAATAATAATACAGCATTTATATATCGCCACTTCCCGCTCAACAGCAAGCCTTATGCACTTTACAATCTACAAGCCTATTATTACCTCAGCAGGTCTAATAGCATTCTGAAACAATCTCAACTTCTTGGCAAACATACTTAAACAATCGTTCGCTGTTTATGGTCGAATGTCCCACACTGAGGAAAATACGTGCAAGATCTATTTTCCAAGGACACAACTGAACCCGCAACGTCATGATTACAAGACACTTTTAAAGATGTGACAGATTTGTAATTCAGTTCAAAATTTGAGGTGCCTGACATGAGAAGCCAGACATAATTGTAAGATTATTTAATCGAAGTCTTTGCTGATTTGACATATATATATTTAACAATATCTAGGTTATAATAAAAGCTCGACAGTCAATGTCTGAAGATGACAAAATAATATGCATCCGTAGAAGATGGTATTTTTGAAGAGAAATAGACGAGTTAAGATAACTCATGGATTCTGCTATGGTCAATGAGGCCAATTCTGGCAGAAAAAAGTTTGCCACATTTTAAGCTTTCAAAAGCTCCACTTCCACTTTTGTATGTGTGCAGCGAACGGCCTTCACTTTTGGTTTCAGCATTCATGACTTGCTGTCCACTATGGCTGCTGCTCTCCAACACTGGGTCTGTCCGGAGTAAAATTCTCCCATGTCGGATAATTTATGTTGAAGTACTTCAGATACATTTTCAGGGTGTATTTGTGGCCGTTTTTTTAGCGCCAACTTTACGCTTCACTGAGGACAGTTCAAAATAGAATACTATCCTTGGAATCCTGAATCAGGCCTTCTTACGACTTGACCAGCCTAACGAAGATGAGTCATTTTGAACTTAGAAAACAGACTATCGGCATTTGTCCTTTTGAGAACTTCGGTGTCAGGTATTTTGCCTTGCCATTTGATGTCAAGAACTCTCTTGAAGCTTTTCATGTGGTAATTATTTAGCTTTTCGGCCTGTCTTTAGCCACACTTTGTAAGTCTCGACCCCGTATAAACGGTTGGGAGGACCACAACATTGTAGACTTTCAACTTGGTCTCTGTGCGAATGCCACAACAGTACCAAACCTTTGCTCCGATTTTTCCTCGAATAACCTCTAGCTTTATTTATACGTTAAGATCAGTGTTGTGATAAGCAGTTTGATAAACTAAGTTTAGGGGGTTTGTTACCTCGAGATATAGCTTTAGACAGTCTGAGTAAATTATCACCAAATGCCCTGTCTTTTATCGGATCTAAGAGTAAATAATAATACAATATCACAAATACCCGTTTCCACTTGAACACTCACCCAGAATCAGGCAATCAACAGTAAATAATTATTGTACAAAGTCTGTCCTGAAATCAACCCAGAGTAAAGTGTTCAACATGTTACCTGGAACGACAGTGAAATCAATACCTGTTCAATTGTTCATGTTGCAAAAAGCTGTTAAACACCGCCAAAGCTTTGCAGCTGTTGTTAATGACCAATGTTTGCCTGTGTAAGTTGCACCCTTAGTAATAAAAAAACAACAACACGTGCTTGTAGTAGCCCATTAAGTTGCTAAAATGACACGCAGGCTATCATATAATTTACACCAGCCCTCGGACTAGCATGATCTTGATTTTCGGCCTGTCTGAGCATTCGCACACGCCCACTCACACATACACACATTCACACACACACACACACAAACACTCACTTACACACCCACATACATACACACTTTTTTCACAAATGTACGCGAACAAAGCCAAACAACAAATAACTTTTTGATCCCATTCTAAGGGCCTATATTATGATAAACAAGTTTTTTTTTTCTCGCAATATACATTAATAACATATTACTATATTATGCACATATACTTATTATGTTTACCATGGTCGTCGTTTTCGTTTTCATTGATGTTATCCAAGTTGCCTACTACCATCAGTACTTTTGGTAATGCATATTGGTTTTTCTCTATAACTTTGCTCTGTACTTACTTTGCCAATTATTTCAGCTTTGCACACTTTTGTTTGTAGGTGTTAGTTTAGCTGTAGAAATGTCGGACTTCTTTAACGAAATATTTTTGGTTCGATTACCGCCTTCTTGGATAGGACCTTTAGCCTCGGGAAAATATTTAACCCATTTTTCACCAGATCACTCGCCTGCCAATTGTTACTGTGTAAGTAGGCTGATTGCCTCAAACACAGGTTGTTACATGAAATGGAAAGGACCCAGGAAATCCTGACGCCTACGACAGGACACGACTAACAAGTTTTCATAAAACGGCCTCCAGCTATGTCGAATTCTTTATCTTGTAGAAGGTTTGTTTGAACTGACCCACTTGTTAAACATGAGAGATCAGCACAGTACTTGCGCTTCAGAGTGTGTGAAATGTTACTTTATGACATCTAACTGCATTCACAATGGGGCAGCCTCTCTGCTATTATGTGTGGACCAACAGTATTTCAGTAAGTAGCAACGATTAAATAGATTTTTCTGTATTGCGTAGAAATTTGTTTGATATGTTTACATTGAACAATATAATTCGAATATAATTTCTTTTGCACACAAGATCAAATTGTTCGGTTATATGTTTCAGTGTTTTCTTTTAGTTCTAGTTTTAATAAGCGTTTTACGGCACTTGCAACACAATTAGGTCACATACGCGCTGAATATTAGGTGGGTTTTTTTGTTGTTGTTGATTTTGTAAGTGTTCCACGGCGCTCGCATCTGCGCTAGGTCATATGTCGATTTTGGACCACCAAGGGATCTTTCACGTGCGCAACTTGCACATGAGACCTCCGAGATTTTTCGCCCGTCCGAGAAGGCTACATACCTTAAGACCAGGGGTCTGGCTGAAAGACATCAATAAGAAGGAGCCAAGAAATAGTAGTAGAAAGGCTGTAAAAAGAGTCAGGAGCCCAGAGGAGGGGGCAAAAGAGGTGAATGAATGACAGAAATAAGTTGTGTCTGATCTCTTTGATACGCTTTAGAAAACTCAAATGCTGTGCATGTTGGTACATGAGTGGGGAACGAGATGAGATACCGTTGGTCCATATCCGATTCCACCGGTTGAATATCTTGGCCCTAAAATCTGACTTTCTGCCCACGAGCATCACATTTTGAGTGTTGCAGATATAGATACATTATATCCAACAAGGTTTTGCAGAGCTATCGATGTTTACACTCCATCATGCACGGTGATTTGGTGCAGCTTTATTTTACTTCTGGCCCATGTGGCATAAAATACTACGGTACCTTTTCTGACATGTCTGCATCGCTGCTTTCAGACAAATAATATTAGTTTGTCCTTAATTCTCTGACGATGGCTACTTTATCACCCGCAGAGGAGAACATTTCTTCTTCGAAATAGAAGAGTAAGAAGAATTAAAGGTTAAGATTAAGTGTGGCTTTTGTTGTGGCCGATGAGGCCAATTCTGGCAGAGCAAAGCTTGCCATATTTTGAACATTTAAAAGCTCCACTTCCATTTGTGGATGTACGCAGCTTGCGGGCTTCTCTCAAGGTTTCAATATTTTTTAACTCATTTGAGACCCACGTCCGATAGCCTTGAGCTCGGTTGGAGGCGCATCGGACCTATACGCCCGATAGCATTTCTCGACCGTTGTTGCAGCACAAAGGGGGGTATTCTAGGGAACAAACTTTTGTTTGACATTGCTAAGCCATTTTTATTTTGTATGTTACTTTTAACCGTATAGCGTCGGGGATTTTGATGGCAATTTTCGGTGGCGATTTATGAGGGCAGTCGAGGCGACAAAGAGCACGGGTCTTCGAGGATTACCTTACAAAGAAGGACTATTCATAGTGACTGTAAATTATGTTGTGGTGTGTTTTTATCTGCATTATAGTTATGTTGTAACTTCATCTTGTTTGTTTCTGTATTTCTTCACTGTTAACTTAAAGAAAAAAAATTCTTTGGTCTCAAGCACCATTTTTGTGGGGATCTTGGCAAGTTTAGGAATATATCCAGGCAAATTGAGTTTGATCTAAGGCAAAGT